AAAGTCCGTCTTATAATTGTTTCCCACCTCCAAGAGGTGTGTACCATGACCTCCCCCCCCCCGGAAGTTTTTTCTTTAAATTTGTCTTCCTCCTCCTCTCCTCTCTCCTCTCTTCCGTCCTTCCCTTCCCTTCTCACCTTCTTGTCTCTCTCCCCTCTTCCTTCTTTTCATTCCTGCTGCTGATGTAACAGCAAGAACCACAAACACGTGCTAAGAGCTAACACATGCGTGGCATTCCAGGGCCCCCATCCCTCCCAGACCCCACACCTCGCTTTCTGTAGTGCTCAGGTCACCTGAGTGTGGCCCATAGCAGCTGGGAGCAAAGAGGAGGGTTATTGTGTTTGCACAATATTATTGTGTTTCCTGGTTTTACAACAGGAAACCTGCACTAGAAAACACTCAACTGGCACCTGATTCTTACAGTCACACCCAGAATCTGGGGTCATATTTCCACCATGGATTAGAAAACTGAGCTCTGGATTAGAGAACATGTGAACTGTCTGTGGTTGGTGAGTGGATGGGTAGGGGCTGAGCTCTAGACCTCAGGTTTTTAGCTATAACCTTGGGCTGCCAGCCAGTGAGCCTGTGGCCAGATGTCTCACAGGGCTGACATGTATGGGTAAAGGAAGTAGAAGACTTTCTAGAATCCAGGGTCTGCATAGAAGGTCGATGTGCCCGTGTGGTCTGGGCCCTTGTTTGAAATGTGCAATCAGACCAGATGGGGCTCTGCTACCTACACCTTCACAAGCCCTCTGAGGGATCTAAGGCCACTCCAAGGGGAGAAGCCCTGCTTTAGCCCAAAAGGAGAGCAGCCACTTGAGGAGCGAAGCCACAGACACAAGAGGTCTGTTTCTTCCCTGGGCAGGAGGACAGTCTGGTGTCTGTTAGATCCCAGGGTGCTCCTTCAGCTCCAGGACATGGCGGTCTGTCCATCATCCCGAGCCTGGCACATTTCAGCCCTGTGCTGTGGGTGAGGCTACCTGCATACAGGTGTGAGCAGGACACCCATCCCTGCCCACAGGAGGCCTCAAGCTCTCAGCCTCTTAGGCCCAGTCAGAGGAGGCAGGGGTTTCGCAGGAAGGGGGTACTCAACAGACAGTAAGACGTGGAGGCTGAGGCTGCAGCGTGGGTGGGCAGAGGGGTCAGCATCCCAGGCAGGGAGAAACCAGTGCACAGGCCCTGGGTCAGAAGGAGCTCACCAGAGTCGCATGGCCTGGGGAGAAATGAGGCCAGGGAGCCTTAAGGCCATTTTCTGGCCACTTCTGTATGTGTCAGAGGCACCTACAGGACTCTGCACAAGTTCCCTTATGACCTGCCTGTGTTGTGCCAGAAGAGATGACACATGGCTGGTTTTGCCAGGCATGCAGCTGCAGCCCAGGTGCTGTCCCTCCTGTGACAAGGCTGTCCCCTCCACCTCTCCCAGCTCTACCTTCCGTTTGGCATACAGTAGGCACAGGGTGCCCTGAGGCTGTGAGGCTATGAGGGGGTCAGTTCGAAGCTGGGCAGGCTCTCAGTGAGAAGGTGCCCCAGCTGCCAGGGCATGGTGTCCAGGAGGGCTTGTGCACATGTGCCTACTTGAGCCCCCCGCTGCTCCCTCCTGGGTCACTGAAGCACTCTGAGGCTGCTGGGGCAGGCCCCTCTTTAAAGTGACTCCAGGTCAGACTCACAGCAGACAGAGTATGGGAGCAGGAGTGGGTGCTGGAGTGGGTGCGAGTCTCCTGGGGGCGGCCTAGGAGGCAGATTGTAACTCAGCAGGTCTGGGTGGGGCTAAGGATTTGTACCTGTGACCAGTGTCAACAGAAAAAAGGCTGAACTGAAAATTAATTTGAAGAGGTTTGTTCTGTGCAGAATTTGAGGACCATGACCCAGAGCCACACCCAAGAAGCCTTGTATGGGACATTTCAGGGAGACAAGAATCACACTCACAGTCATAAATCAATACATGGAAGGTGTGTATTGGTTTGGCCTGAAAAGGCAGGACATCCTGAGGTGGGAGTGCGGTAGGTGGGGTTTACAGGTGGGTTTAAAAATTTTTTAGTTGATGAGGAGCTGGAAGAGTTAGGCTTTGGGGTGGCACCTGTGGCTCAAAGGGATAAGGTGCCGGCCCCATATGCCAGAGGTGGTGGGTTTTGCAGCCCTGGCCAAAAACTGCAAAAAAAAAAAAAAAAAAAAAGAGTTAGGCTTTGTCTAAAAGACCAGGAGTGGAAAGTGCCCATAGCTCTGTGGTTAGGGCACCAGCCACATGCACCAAGGCTGGTGGGTTTGAACCCGGCCCAGACCAGCTAAAACAATGACAACTGCAACAACAAAAAATAGCTGGGCGCTGTGGCGGGTACCTACAGTCCCAGAAGCTTGGGAGGATGAGGCAGGAGAATCGCTTGGGCCCAGGAGTTTGAGGTTGCTATGAGCTGTGACACCATGGAACTACTCTACCCAGGGTGACAGCTTGAGGCACTGTCTCAAAAAAAAAAAAAAAAAAAAAACCAGAACAAACAAAAAAGAAAACAGGAGTGAGCCCAAAGGAATGCTTACATCAAGATAAGGGGCTGTTAATCAGAGACTAGGCCATATACCCAGATGCCAGTGGTTTGTTGTGTGTGTTGAGGACCTGCAGGTGCATCTTACACAGCCTTAGGTCTGTAATGAATCACAATGGATGTCTCTAAGAAAGGTGGGGGCATCAAGAGGCATGTCTGGCCTTTCTGATGACCAGAAACTCATTTTTAGGGGCCCCCTTTGCCAAGAGGGGGTTCATTCAACCAGCTGCTGCTGGAGGAGACTTAAGATTTTATTTTAGTTTGTGTCTGCCCACAGATGGCAGGAGTGGCCCGAGGGCTCAAGTAGGCAAGTATGCACAAGCCTGCGTCTACTCTTGCTGGGCCCGCTCCTCCACCAGCCGTCTCTGCAGTGTCAGTCCTTGGCTGGTTGGGTCTTCCCAGGCTTGTCATCACCTGCCCACAGTCACGGCAGGGCACAGGCCAGCAGTGGGGGTGTGGGGGTTTAGGGGGACGTGGAGGGCTTGGGGGGATGTCAGGGGATATGGAAGGCCTGTGGGTGTGGGGGGTGGTTGCTTTGCTGATTGTTCAGAAGCTAGAAACCTGTGGCTTTAATATTCTTGATTTAAAATATTGGACTGGATTGGCGTGCTTGCACATACACACACCAGCCAGAGACTCACACCTCTGCAGGCAGACTCAGCCTGTGGGCCAGGCTGACTGGCACTTGCATGGCAGTGTACTGATTTCCCCCTGGCAGCCTTGCTGCTTCTCTGTCTCCTTCATAGTCTCCTTGTTCTTCTCACCTGCCAGAATCAGTCTGGCCTTGCCGGCAGGCCTCACCCTTCTCCCACCTGTTGGTTGGAGCAGTCTTCACCACCTGGCTGGACTGTTACAGGCTGACCGTGGAGAGCAGAGTGTCAACATAAGACTCCAGAGCTGACCTGCCCGTGCTGGGTCCTGCTCTGCCACCGTGTGCCCTTGGGCAGCCTGCTTAGCCTCTCTGGCCTCTTTTCCAGTCGGTAAGAGAAGACCCTGCTGGTCCCTCCCTCTGGCCCACAGGGAAGGTGTCCTCACGGAGCTGCCTGTGCTCATTGGTGCTTCAGCCTCTGCTCTGTCGTCCTGTTGGGGATGCTGCCTGCCACAGCCTGACTGTGTCTTGGTCATTTCCTCATGTTTCTTGTAATTGTGTGTGTGTGTCCTACACCCACGGCAGGGGCCGAGTATCTGTCCCTGCATGTCCCTTTGCACTCAGCACGGGTCCTTGCTTAGAAGTGTGCCCGGGAGACTAGCTGAACAAACAGCTGCAGGGCTTGTGTGCCCTCTCTCTGCGCTCCTAAAAGAGCCCCTGTCACCCAGAAAAGCATCTGGGAAGATGGGAAAGGCTTCCAGGGAGTGGGGTAGAGATTCTACTGTTTTTAAAGTTATGAATTGTGTTTTGCTGGAACAGAGACCAACCCCTCTGCTGCCTGCTTGATGGTAGGGATGTCACAGAGCTTGGGTGCCATCGGCTGAGGCTGCAAATGACACTGGAGACCCTGGTGAGGGTGAGGGCTTTCTGGGGGGTTAACACGAGTGCATGTGTGCACATGCGTGACCCTGAGAGGCCAGAGGGGCAGGTGGCTGCTGACCCCAGAGATATTCACAGGAATCATTTTCTGCATACACCTGGGGCCCTCTGGAGAGTCAGTCTTCAGTGCCTGGTTGTGAGGGTGCAGAGGGGCTCTGCAGTGCTGGCTGGAGTTAGGCTGGTCTTTGAAATCAGTGAGTACTGAGCAGGTGCCAACGAACTAAACCCCATTAATCCTTAGGTTTACGGTAAATAGGAGAACTGACCTTCTGTTTCTGCAGGGAAGTCATGTGATCTGAGCTTGGGTAGCGGAGTGGGAGGGGAGCAAAGCATTCTGGAAAACTAGGATAGCATTTCCCTATTGTCAGATCCCTCCTTGGAGCAGAGGGTGGTATTGAGGGTGCCAGTCAAATACATGAACAGGGAGTTGCCCCTCAACCTGTCTGCACCCCAACCATGGGGCAGGTGCGCCCAGGAGCTGGCCACATTAGTCATGCACTGGCCTGTGAGGTCCTATTAGTACCAAGTGCTCTTTGCAGCAGCATGCTGTGATGCCTGCCCCAGAGACACGTCAGAACCTCCCAGGGAGCTTTGAAAGCCCAGGACATCCTGGGGGTGGTGGTGGCTGGGGGTGGCCCAGGAGAGGCCAGCAGCAGACAGGATTGGGATGACTGCTGTGAAGTGACCACTTCAGAATATTGGTGGGAGAGCACCTCACACCTTTGGGACCATGCTTGCGTGGTGACCATCTTTGTTTTCACACCTCTGACAATAACCGTTCTCTTTGTAATGAGGTAGAGACCTCTCCATGAAGCAGGGCAGTGCCCTCTCAGAGGGCATAGCTCAACCTCAGCAAACTAGAACTCTCCACCTCCTGCCTGGATTCTCACTCTGAAAGCACCCCCTGTAACGTCTGTTAACCTGTTTCTGTACAGTCAACTGCTTGGATCAGCATGTCCAGAAGTCCCCTGAGCATGTGGCTTTGATCTGGGAGCGAGACGAACCGGGAACCGAAGTGAGGATCACCTACAGGTACCGTGTGTCCCCAGGGGTCTCAGCCCAACAGATTACCTGGGCCTCCTGACCCTGACCCAGGCACCCTGTGGGACCTCCTGACCTTGACCCAGGCACCTCATGGTGCCTCCTGACCCTGACCCAGGCACCCCGTGGGACCTCCTGACCCTGACCCAGGCACCCCATGGGGCCCACTGACCCTGACCCAGGCACCCCGTGGGACCT